TCCTTTCTCGTTCTTGCGGGTGTGTGTACTTACGAATACTTGCCGGCTCCTGGTTTCCATCTCTTCTTCTACGCACCGTTCTCGCACCTGTCAGCGCCAATCTGGCGATCTCGCTTCCGTTGTTGTTCTTTTCAACGGCCGTCAACTCGTTCCGTATTGACCTCTGGCATCGCTGCTTCTTCCCGGTACACAGATCTGAGAAACAGTAAAGTACCTAAATGAGGGAGTGTGATACCTAAGTAGGTGAATCTTGCAGAGGCGGCTTTCCCGTTCCCCAAGACCCAAGAGATACCTGGATACAAGTACGTACCGCACTCGGTACCGGAGGGGAAGGACCGGGACTTTTCTTTGCCCTTCCCATCGCCGGCTTGAGATTTACATCAACATTACTCGAAACCGTCGCCCAACAACCACAAAAGACTAGTCGCCGCCAGTCATCACACAAACCCGAGGCTCGCACTTGGCTGGAGATCTGCACTGTCGCCCTTTTTTCCTTTCTTCTTCTCTTCCCTTTCTTTGTTGACTCGCGCTCCCACACCCGGACACACACCAGGACGCGCCAGGGCACCACGGCACCCACAGCTCGACGGGCAGATGCTCACTTGCTCATTAGGCACCGTACGAATACCTACCTGACGCTTCTGCCCAACTGCCCCAAGGTCATCGGACCTGTCTGCCAACTTCGACCTCCTTCATTCATCTCTGTCTTCGTGTTACCGTCACCGTCCTCACCCTCATCTCTCACCTCTATTTGTACTTCAAAGAGAAACCTAGCACGGAAAGACTCTCTGGGTGGCGGCGCGTTCTGCCCGGTAGTGTGTCCACCACCCTATTTCCCGCAGACGAATCCAGACCCGATCCGGTAACCCCAGGAAGCCGATCCCTCTTCCCACCACCCAAGGAGGACGGACCCTTGAAAATCCATAGAGAGAAGAAGGGCCAGCCGGGGGGACGAACACCCTTCGACCCTGACATTTCGACGCCCCTAGGCCTGAATAGGTCGTCTCCAGCAACCCCCAAACAAACCGTCCCCAGGACCCTCACCAACTCTTCCTGTCGCGGCTTGCTCGCCCTGCCTTTCAGTCCCCAAAGAGCCCCAGGAGCCACCGGCCGACTTCCGTGGTTCAGCTTTCCACTACCGCCCTCCGCCTGCACTGCAACTCAACCCCGTTCACGGCTGCTGCAGCCCATCTCGCTCTCTGTCTCAATATCTTTGAACCACACCCGAAAATCTCCAAAACTTCCGCCCAACCGTCTCCTTACTGGCCGCCACCTGCTTATCCACTCATTGTCCACCCTGCGGTGGCTCCAAGCCTTTAGCTGGGAAGTCCGAGACATTCCCGTCCTGCGAGTGTACAACTTCCCGGCGCGCCAGATAGAGTCAGGTTTAGGAAGGGGGAAAAGAAGCAAAAAAGGGAGAAGAAGCTAGGACTGAAGGTATGGAACCGAGACAAGACCCTCCGTGCCTCCTCGAACTCCCCATCTCCCTCTCTTACCTATTCCCTTAAACCCTTCAAACCTCCCACTGACCATGTGATGATCCCCAGGTATTTGTGCTCTGTTCGCTTCCCCACGAATCCGTTTCGACCTCCCCTTTCTCTTCCACGTCCCCGGACCCTTCCTTGTCGTCTCGTCTGCAAGGTCAGCTAGAGAAGATCAATCTCGACCTCTAGTTCTGGTCTCTAGGCGACTGTCGCCAACGTCGACGTCGACGTACGCATCTACAGCATGTCTGCACGCATCCAAAACCTCTCCGATTGGGCTCCGGTCCAGGAGGCTATCTACGACGAGCCCTCCTCCACTTCCGCCATTCAGGAAGATGCCTTTGATGGGAACGCCAACGCCAGACCATCTTTCCAGCAACATCGCCTTCGTAGCATGAGTCTCTCCCTCCCATGGCGCCGCAAATCCTCCATCTTCCACATCGAACCCGAACTGTCGAGCCATCTCGAAGAACTCTCCCTCGAGCGATCTCGAAGCCACGTCGGCCCTAGCAACGAGAACTCTGAGAAGCACGGTCACGGAGCACACGCGGGAGGCAACGGCGGCAATAGCAATGGCAGCATCAAGGGCATGTTCCGTAGGGCGTCCATATCGTTGAAGGGCATTGTCCACCATCACAAGAGACATTCGATCGGGGGTGCTCATGGCTTGGAGGAGCCTCAAAATGATGCCCGTCCCGGCACCGCTCACGCCAACTCCCATTGGCACCGCCTTCGCCAGGCAACGAGCTTCCGACACTCCAAGACGTCCCATGGCCCCGACTCACAAAGCGATGCCTCCGCGTCTGACCACTGCTTCCCCTGCCTGCCACTCCCTGGAAGTGGAAGCGCGCCGCCCATCATTCCTTTTCACACAGGCGCCGCTGCCAAGGCTTCTGCCGCTGCCTCAAACCAGGCTTTCCAGAACAAGTGGCTTCGCGCTTCCTCTGATGACTTCACTGATCGCGAGAGCGGCATCGGCATCACCGTCACTGGTGTCGACTCTGATGTCGATGTGGAGGTGGAGGTCCAGGACGCCAACATCAGCCGAATCAACTTTATTGCGCAGCTCCCTGTTGAGTTGGCGATCCAGGTTCTCGCTCATTTGGATGCCACTGCTCTTGGCGCTGCGAGCAGAGTTTCGCGGGAATGGCAGCAAATGGTCAAGAACCAACACGTCTGGAGAGAGTCATTCTTGCGCGAGAAGACTGGAACCTACGCTACTAGTCTCCCCGTTCAACCTGGAACAGGACAGGGCGTCCCGCCCATCAACCCAGACGTGAATTGGAAGCAGATCTACAAGGCCAAGGAGGAGCTCGACCAGCGATGGAAGGAGGGCAAGGCTAAACCCGTCTATCTGAATGGGCACCTGGACAGTATCTATTGCCTTCAGTTCGACGAGTAAGTATCAAGGATTCTTTCGAAAGAGCCTGGTTAACTAACATACGCATAGAACGAAGATCATCACCGGTTCTCGCGATAAGACCATTCGAGTGTGGGACATGCGGACATTCGAGTGTCGTCTGGTCATCGGCCCGCCTGAGGTCGTCAACGACGTCTCCCTGCTTCTCGACGACGAAGGACAGCCGGTTCATTACGCAGCTCTCCCCGATAACCAGCGGGCGAATCCTTCGATGCCTGCCATGGTCTCCTTTCCCACCCACCACAAGGCATCAATTCTTTGTCTGCAATACGATGATCGCATGCTCGTCACTGGGTCGTCCGACGCGAGCTGCATTGTGTACAACGTTCGCTCGGGCTACAGACCGATCCGCCGTCTTCAGCATCATACTGCCGCTGTGTTGGATCTCGCTTTTGACGACAAACACATCATTACGTGTAGCAAGGACATTAGCATCTGCGTTTGGGACCGAGCGACCGGCACTCTCCTCCGTCAGCTTCGAGGGCATTCCGGTCCAGTGAATGCTGTCCAGATGCGCGGCAATACCATTGTCTCTTGTTCGGGCGACTTCCGCGTCAAGCTCTGGAACATTGACACTGGCAAAAACATTCGAGAATTCCAGGGTCACACCAAGGGCCTGGCGTGTTCTCAGTTCTCCGAAGACGGCCGATATGTCGCCTCGGCTGGTAATGACAAGGTCATCCGCATTTGGGATGCCAACACGGGCGAGTGTCTTCGCGAGATGAAGGCCCACGATAACCTCGTGCGCAGCCTGCATATCGACTCGGTCAGCGGGCGTCTTGTCAGCGGCAGCTACGACACTGACATTAAGGTCTTTGACATGGAGACTGGTCGCCAGTTGCTCGACTTCCCACGATGGCACGCTAGCTGGGTGCTGAGCGCGAAGAGCGATTATCGGAGAATCGTCAGCACCGGGCAGGATCCCAAGATCCTCATCATGGACTTTGGTGCCGACGTCGCCGGAATCGAGGCACTGGAGAGCAGCGGCGGTACCTGCGAGATAGAGGGCGGATACATATAGAGGGCACGAAAGACGCATACAACCTACATAATACCCTAATACCGAGAGCGGCAAGGCTGGACCGCCCTCACTGACGACTTGGCTTCTTCATTTTTATTCGACCATCACGACTCGGTGGCGATCCGGCGTAGTAGACGTTATACGAAAACAAAAGAGATGAGGCGATTTTTGGAAAGAACAGAACCCTCACGGAGGCGTATTGGATGATGACGATGGATACTCATCCACTTGCATTGGGATTGCGGGTGTCTGGTCAAGATCCGGTTTCTTTTCGTTCGGGTTGGGATCCGTTCAAACATCTGGACTGGATCTTGTTTCTTCGTTTTGCATGGCATCCTGGGCTTTGTTGCATAGACGGCTACTGGATAGAAGCATTATAGACTCTGTTTCGCCATCACATATTTGTCCGTGGGTGTTCACTAACTGCCGCCTGCCTGGCCGTCTATTTTTCCGACGTCCTGCGAAGATGGGGAGTTTTGAAGTGACACTTTTGCCACTGATCTACCATGCTTTATGGTCATGCTATGAGACGACGGGTTCATGGTATAGAATGCGGAGAAAACGACCGTTTCATTCCAGACAAAAAAAGTCAACGGGCCAACGAGGCGGCAAAAATAGGTGGGACGGGGGTGAGCCTCGTTCCCATCAAAGCGGCGGCTGGTGTGGCAATATACCTGCTGGCCCATTCGGGTTTCAGGATGGGTGCGAGCAAGATCAGACGTTCCGTTTCGTTTCGACTCAAAAGGGTCTTTTTATCTGATGGCCGGTCGGCCGGCCTGGTTTGCGACTCTGCCAGGCCTTTTTGTTTGTTTCGAGAGTGTGTGGTGCGGTGGTTACCGCACGTCTTGGGTTGATTATCGGCGTGGTGGCAACGGATGAATCTGTGCTACGCGTCCTCTGGAACTGGGACCGAGATGGACATTTGGATGGAGATTTCGAGTGCTGTGCTACCTTACCGATCTTGGTGTTTCATGTCCTGTTCGACCGAACTGGGATGCTTTGGTACGGCTGCTTGTGTGTTGTCATGTATGCTGCAGATGTAAATTCCATGAGAATTGAGGGATGTAGTATACGTCTAGGTGCAAGTGAGATGCAGAAGCAATGGGTGTCCGATTACAATGACGACCAGCATCAAAACATGCGCATGCGAAGCAGATGTCGATGTCGAGGCTCTTCTGTAAGCTTGGCTCCATACCTCCGACCTCAAGAAGCTAAGTCCAAGAAGATCATTGGACTCAGTGCGTCTCTTCTTCGGACTCGGGCCTGGGAGCAATCTCATCTTTGAGCCTGCCCACGTCCCGTCCACGGTCCGAGAGCACGTCGGTGGGAAAACTGGATGATTGAGATCAGCCTAATGCGGACCTGACACACGGAGAAGGTCGCGGTCAAAGGGCGACTGACGGGTTGGACAGATCACGGACCGTGCCTTCCGGTATCCGCAAGGCGGTTGGCTACTTGCTTGAGCTTCGGAGAAGTATCTGAGCGGTGAATTTGGACTTGCTGATGTAGGTGGCCGCCGATATGGTTTACTTTAAGCTGGCGATTTGACAGAGGGGTCGGAACGGCGCGACGATGATGCTGCTCAGAATGAGTATCGTCTAGTCGCAGGTGGGATGTTGTCCATCACAACGACACTAGAAGACGGTGGCGAAGGGAGCACAAAGACTCTCACGGCTTGGGAGCCTCCAGCCGCCAAATGCACAAAAAACTAAAGTACCTTAGTTCAGACAGGAAGTATGTCTTGGTAGATGGTTCACCAGATTGAGGCTTTTGGCCATTCTTCCAGCTCCCAGTCTTGTATACACGCCAACATCATGATGATGGTAAAGATGGGCAGGTTTATGGATGGTAAAGTGGCAGAGCTCAAACATCGTGTGTAGCTGTCTCGCGAACACCGAGGTTAAAAGAACCATCGGCCAAATACTTGGTAGCTTCCCACATGCCTCTGCCAAGTATCGTGAAAACAGTCACATGTGTGGAAGAACACAAAAAAAGCATCAGTTTCAGCTGCGTTATCCGCAAATTGTCTTGGGCAGTTGACTCGGGCCCTATTCGAGCGAGAGACCTTGGTTCCAAGATCCTCCAAGATGTCAAGATGGAAGCTGAAATAGGGCCGAAGAGCAGGGGTCGTTCCAGAACAAAAGTCGAGTATCACGAACCGACCTTCCATTTCTGTCCTTCCCCGGACCCCATTTCCCCTCAGCATCCACGGCCCCAGACATCAGGTTTGAGTGGGTTAGGAGCGGGGGGACAAGCCCGGAGTAGAGGCAGAGAAGAACACAAATATATTGGGCATTGCACATTCACAAGAGCCGCCGTGATGGTGCCGGATGCGACGCTGCTCGGTCGGGCCGGATGGGCAGCAGAGGATCTGAGCCTTGCTGTGAGGAACTTCATCTACATGTGTTCGTCTCATGTTGCCTAGTCTTGTCTTCATCTCACGATGCCTGCCGCCGGAGTGTAGATGCCGCCGCAGCGTTAGGCAGGGAGGTATTTTTGTTCGACCCCCGGATCGAACGGTGCCCCGGTGGCGCTTCGGTCTCATTCTATGGATTGAATTGCCTTGGATAAATCTCCCGCATGCCAAGTTAAGGAAAACCCCGGATCCCCTCTCCAGATTTGTCTCCTCCAATACATCAAGGCCTCCAGGTCCTCAAGATATCACCGCTCTGCAGAATAAAATGACGCCGTAGAGGAGCCGGCTTAGACCACGAGGCTTTGACGCTGATGGGGGAAATTAGACTTGTTCGAGTGTCCCGTGGGGATGATCTGCGCTGCCGACCGACGCGGAGAATCTGCGAGGAAGAAAATGGTCACGACACGCTAGGATGATGTGGACGAGGGCGCAAAATTACCACGAGGACATGGGATGGAGGGGACTCGGGGGGGGGGGGGGGAATGTTGGGGTTCGCCCTAGGTCTCACGACTCCACGATTCGATTCGCGAGAGAAAGTACCACACGTTGCAATAGTCTGTATGTAGAACACTCACAAGGTGTGCCCAGGCCATGTGGACAGGAGGGAACATGGGCAACGCCACCTGACCGCGAGAACGAGTAACAAGCGCTCCTTGGAAAGGAGGCTAGAGGCGGCAGACGTAGATCTTATTTTGGGATGTACCCGGTTTAAAGATGTTGGTATTGAGTATTGAGCTACGCTCTAAATGAACCCAAAGCCAAGCCAGGCGGAGACAGGTCTTCAGCCGGAGGGATTGTCGCGAACCGTTTATGTCTCTTTTGGGAGGAGAAGGGAGAAGTTTCTGAACTTTCTGGGTCCAGAACCGTCCCTTTAGCCTTCACGCATGAAGGTTAATTTCCGTCAGAAATACTGGGGATGAGATGTGGTGTAGCGGCAAGCGGCGCATGGTGGTCCTGGTTTGTCCTAACGCTGTCTCTAGTGACATGCAGCTAAAAGTCTAAAAGGGGGCGCCGACAAGAAGTCGCCAAGTCGCTTTTATTTTGGTACTCGTGAGTTGCAGATGTTAGTTTCTGCTATGCTCGCTGTTTTTTTCCACGGGGGAGATTTGGGGGACTAAGGCGCAGGGCGTAACAGCTTGGCGGCGGACTTGTCAAGCGGCCAGGAATAGGATCATCGATGCGCAGATAGAGTGCGCGCGGGACGATCAAGCGTTGACGGGTGGGTTCGGGGGCCCGTGAAGACGACATGACTCTGGACAATTGGTGAGAATAGAGAAGTTGAGTATCAATAGTACCAGTGTTCTTCAAACACACACAGTATTATTAGGTGAAGTACTCCGGGAAGGATTCAGAGTTTTGCGCGTACATGAACAGCCAGGGAAGAGTGAATTACAGAGCGATGCTGGTGTACTCAGAGTAGTAAAGATGATATAGACGTTTCGAAACGGCTGCACTGGCAAAGATGGGATGTTGTGAAGCTGTGTTCGTTTGGGACCAATGTAGACTCCTGCATCAATCGATACCTCAAAGTTTATGACTGAACAGAGGGACTAAGGTTGCGTACCTAAAGCTCGCAATGCGGATATGTCCTAGTGAAGCCTCATAGAAAGTGTATCTACGATCCGGAATTCCAGAAATCAAGACCGCGAACTCAGACTGGGCCCGCAAGGTCATGACAAGTCAACAAGAGTAAGCATATCGAGTGCCTGGGCGCACGCGATGCAAGTGATGTGTCCTCGAGGCTTCAGCGTTGCATTGGGCATGGATGTAATCAGGTACGGCGATCCAGCGGTTGCGTGCGGTCCAGTCACCGATGTCCAGCTGGGGTCGTTTCCTGCACGAGCTATTGTCCGCAGCTGATGTCTGGTCATTGACGTTCCTCGTAGAACTCGTAGTCGTAGTCGGACTTGGTAGCGATGCGGCAGAGGTACTTCTCCCGGGCCTGTCCTGGCGAGTTGACAGCGGACATGACTCCTGCAAGGGGCATGTAAACCGCCAGCATCGTCAGACAAATCCTGGGGGCATTTCGGGCTCGATGGACGGGATATCCCCTACGATTGGCGTGCCGAGGGCCGGCTCTGCTCTTGAAGTGGTACTATAACCCATCAATAGATGAAGGTTTTTCAACATCATCCCTTTTGGACGAGACTGGTCTCACAAGGCTTGAAGCGATGGGTGTTCCCCACAGTCCATTAACCTTTTGAAAGTGAAAGCGACGCGCCGGGCGGAGCAGGTAACTGATTTTTCTCAACGTCTTCTCATGTGACAGCGCTTGGCTCTGGAGAAGGGCCGAGAGCATTGAGTATTGCGGGGTGGTAGTGCAGTAGCTTCCAATATTGTGCAGAAAAATAGGCAAGTCGCTGATGACAAGATGATTCCTGGAGGAGGCAGACAGTAGACCCGGGTGACTCTCTCTCACCACAAGGTTACAATGAGCAGCATCACGGGTGAGAAACTTCGAAGGGGGCCGATGGTAGCCCAAGCTTACAGAACGCCATGTATGTCGCGTGGCTTCAGTTGACAGGTCGTCCAGAGTCAATGCCCAGGGCCAGCCACTTCAAGGAACCTGACTATTTCATGGGAGACCTCTTTGTGAGCGCTTCGATGCCGTCATAGAAGAGTTCCAGACAGACGGGCCGGTCCAAGTTTCTGAGTCTAGTCAGCGCAGTAAAATGACATTGTAGGACATGAATGGTGAGAGGGAGATATTCATGGCCAAGAGTCAAGACATACCGGTAGTCACAAGCGCCTCGCCCATCTGGACCCTCTCCGTCCTCATCATCTCCCGCAGGAACAACTGCCATCCAACCAACGGCCACCAACGCACAACCACAGCCAGTGCCGCTGCGGGATCGGGTCGCAACGCGCCCAGCTCTGTGACGCGAACCCCATCAAACCATTTCTCTTTGAGCCCTTGCTGTGCACGCTGAAGGCATCTACCGCTGGTGGAGGGTGGACGGGCTTGAAACGGCGCTATGCCCGATCCTGAGCTACCCCGGCCTCTCCATGTCGGCTGTCCAGAACTTCTTTTGGTGACGGTGCTGCTTTCCTGCTGCTTCTTGAACATACCCTTGTCCCTGTTGTGTGTGCACTTGAGGGTGAAATGATCCTTGCTGCTGCTCATCCGTGGAGGGGCGGCTTTGGTGGGGAAGAGAACACAAAGTGGCCAAGCCAGGGGCACAAGAGGCGAAAAAAGGGAACGGGGGGTCCTCGAAATAGGGAGAACAGCCGCCGGCGTCTTGTCTTGTTCCCCCTCCCCGATATTGGTACGGAATATTACACAGCAGTACTTGGCCCCTTTGTGCACGAGACATTGGAACAAGACGGGGGAGTAAACTCCAAGAGCCACACAGAATGCATGCAGTACTCAGAGACCAAAGACCTCTCCGCAACTAGAGAACAAGTTATTCCGTCTTGTCTTTGGCCTTGCTTCTTTTCATCTTTGACTGTTCAACCAGCTGCCCGATTCGGAGTAGAGTTGACTCCCTCTCTCTCTCTCTCTCTCTCTCTCTCTGACAGACGGGACTGACCTTCGTTCTGTTTCCTCCAGCCACAGCATGGCTCATAGATGAGCCGTTCGATGACATGTCTACAATTTCCTTGGGGGCGGGCTGGCTGATCCTCCGCCTTCGCTTACTTTCCTCTCCCTGCACGTGGAGTCTCCTTTCTTTCCCCTTGAATCGACTGCCCAAATGGCCAGGTTCCTGCGTCCCATCATCAAGGCGAGGCCTTGAGGACCGACAGATCTCGCCCGAAAGATCATTTTCATGCGGGAAACGGAGGCGGTGCAGGGATCATGACAGTCCCTTGGGAAACCAAACCTTGGGCCGTTTACCTATTCCTGCATGCGATTCAATCAACCTCTCACCACCAGAACACCACCAACGGTGGATATACCCAGAACAAGGTCGACAGATCGCCAGGTTGAAGGGGGGCCCGGTGGTCCAACCCGGACTACTGGACTAGGGGCGGCTGTCGCATCGCATTGACTAACCCCCTGAACTGCTCCGGACAGGGCCTTTTCGTCCGAACTACTTGCGTATGCTTCTCTATTCTGCGTCTGTCTGTCACTCTCATTCTCTCACTCACCAACTCTCTCGCCTCGCCTCGCCTCGCGCGCACGTCGCTTGACTTACTCTGTCTGCTGCTGGCAATACCTAACAGCGTACCACCCCCCCATCCTAGCTCTGTTTGAAGCTATATCCCCTCCCAACCAATAGCGCCCCCCTCTGGATCCTTGTTTCATCGCATTTTTGTGCTCTGCCAGGATTACCTATCCAGCGCGGCAAGTCGGCTGGGTGAGGGGTGGTAGTAAAGAAAGAAGGACTAAGGTTAGCTGTTGTACTTGTTGGCTAGGTTTTTTGTCGAGCTCGGGCGGGCCACGGACGTCCAATATCCCCCCTTCTCACTCAATCATTCAGTTTCCCTTCCCCGGTCATACAACCCTACTGGCCCTGCTTGGCTGCCCAGAAGGCCGAGATCCAGTCGTTGAGTATCCGTACCTTTCTTTGACGGACGGCTCTTGGGGGTTGTGAACCGGGATCCAGGGCCTTGCTTTGCTTCAGACTGGGAGGAGGAGAGGTCCGACTGCCGCCGCCGCCACCATGGCGATAAATCGTCCGGCGAGGCAGGGGACTGCCCAAAAGGTAAGGTCAATATAAGACGATCATGTCGCCGTCAACCTCTTCTACGTTTGTGGTCCATCCCTTCCTCTGCTGTTGTCTCGACCTCACACCCTCGTCCTCCCATCGACGTTCTTTCTTTTTCGTTGCGTGTATCCAAAAGCCAAGAGGTGGGATATTCTACCACACTCTGCTGTTTCGATTCGTTCCAAGTCACTCTTTGCACCAAGAAAAAAACCAAGCCTCGATCGGCCGTCACCCGCTGTTGTCACTTTTCAACTTTTCTCTGGTGAGTGTTGTACACCGTTGCTCTTCGATACCGGTCCCGTGGCTTATCTCCTTCTTCCCTACACCCTCCCGAACCACCGGCCTATTGTCTCGGCTCTTAATATCAGTTCCTCTTGGCTTCTTGGGTTGGTGGCAACGGTATCTTCTACAAGAAGTACCGTGACGTGGGACCTGTCATCTGAGTCCGGGCCAGTCTGGGTCGAAGGGGGGCTCGCCGAGTGAAAGAGACCTTGTCTCGTCTGAAGGAGGAACAATAGGACATGATCCAGGCTTGTGATCCACAGCAGTCCTTTTAGTCACTGACAACAAGGCTGTTCGTGGAGAGCGGGCCGGTGCGAGTCGATTGTCAGTTAGTCACTGACACTCACGCGCCCTCCATACTTAAGGTGTGGACGGTTCGTGATGTCGATATCGAGGGTCATCAGCTTCTAAGCCCTATCACGCTTTTCACATCACCCCAGCCTGGTACAAAGAGAACAAATATTTCAGTCTTTCCTTTCTTGAAACAACTTTCCTCGAGCAGTCTCGAGCTACTTCCACATCCCCTCGAAGTTGCGATTGGTTTGGAATTTTCTTCCTTCCATCATCATCAACACCTTCAACACCACTTACTTCAGTCGAGACTGAGAGCTAACCGCCAACCTTCTTCTCAGTCTTCACCTTCCTTACAACCATCCAAACACAAGAGAACCTCAAACAGCTGGCTGTGCTTCCTCGCAATGGGTTTCTCTACGGTCTTTACGGCCGCCGTCCTGGCCCTGCGCCTGTTCTCGGCGGACGTCCTCGCAGCTCCCGCGCCTGCTCCGGTTCCTCAGGCCGCTACTCCTGACGCTGCTGCCGGCTTCTGGCTCGCCTCGATTGAGCGCCGCGGTGTCTCCGCCTTTGGTGACGCCAACTATAAGATCTTCCGCAATGTTAAGGACTTTGGCGCGAAGGGTGATGGCTCTACCGACGACACAGTCGCCATTCAGGCTGGTATGTGATTTCCTTCTCTTGAAGCAAAAGAAAATAGTATGCTAACCTCAGACCAGCTATGGACGAGGGAAACCGCTGCGGCTTTGGCTGTGACTCCCAGACTACCACTCCCGCTCTCGTCTACTTCCCCGCTGGCACCTACGTTGTCTCCAAGCCTATTGTCATGAAGTACTACACTCACATGGTTGGAGATGCCACTCAGCTTCCCACCATCAAGGCCGCTGCTAGCTTCACCGGTATGGCCGTCATCGATGCCAACCCGTACGACGACCAGGGTAACAACGCCCATACCAACCAGAACAGTACGTGCTTGCTTGATATCCCAAACAACTTGTGATGTCCAGTTGCTAACTTTTCGTCCCTAGACTTCTGGAAGCTTGTCCGCAACTTCAACATTGACCTGACCGGCATGCCCTTCACCTCCGGTGCTGGCATTCACTGGCAGGTTGCCCAGGCTACCAGTCTCCAGAACATCGTCTTCAACATGCGCACCGATGGTGGCGACGCCAACGTCCAGCAGGGTATCTTCATCGACAACGGCTCTGGAGGTTTCATGACCGACCTGACCTTCAACGGAGGCAAGTACGGTGCCTTCATGGGCTCCCAGCAGTTCACTACCCGTAACATGACCTTCAACAACTGCAAGACGGCCGTCTACATGAACTGGAACTGGCTGTGGACCTTCCAGGACCTCAAGATCAACAACTGCGGCGTCGGCATTGACATGTCCAACGGTGGTGCCAGTGCTCAGACAGTCGGCTCCGTTCTCCTGCTCGACAGCGTCATTAGCAACACTCCTGTCGGCATCTTGACTGCCTACAACCCTTCGTCTTCGTCCACCAACGGTAGCTTGATCCTTGACAACGTCGACATGACTTCCAACGTCCCCGCCGCCGTCCAGATCGTCGACACCAAGGCCACCGTCCTCGCTGGTAACCAAAAGATTGGATCCTTCGTCCAGGGCAAGACCTACACTGGCACTGCCGGTCAGGGTAAGGCTGTTCAGGCTGCCCAGGATGCTATTGTCAAGCCCGCTGGTCTTCTCGCTTCCGATGGCAAGGTCGTTACCCGCAGCAAGCCTCAGTACGCCAATGTCCCTGCTAGCTCTTTCCTCAGCGCCAAGGCCAACGGCTGCAAGGGTGACGGTAAGAGTGATGATACCGCTGCCATCCAGGCCCTGTTCAACAAGGCCGGCCCCAACGACATTGTCTACTTTGATCACGGTGCCTACATCATCTCCGACACGATCGAGGTTCCCAAGGACATCAAGATCACTGGCGAGGTCTGGCCTCTTCTCATGGCCAACGGTGCCGCTTTCAAGGACCAGGCCAATCCCAAGGTCATGCTTCGCATCGGTAAGGCTGGCGACGTTGGTACCTTTGAGATGAGCGATATCATCGTCCAGACCCAGGGCCCCCAGGCTGGTGCCATCCTCATGGAGTACAACATTGCTGGCTCTACCCCTGGCGCCGCTGGCCTCTGGGATGTTCACTTCCGCATTGGAGGCAGTGCCGGAACCCAGCTTCAGTCCGACAAGTGCGCCAAGAACCCCAACGTCACTACGACCGCCAACCCTGAGTGCATCGGTGCCTACCTTCTCACCCACATGACGGCCCAGTCTTCTGGCTACTTTGAGAACACCTGGTGGTGGGTTGCCGACCACGAGCTCGATCTTCCCGACCGCAAGGCCCAGATCAACATCTACAACGGCCGTGGTGTTCTCTGCGAGGCTACCAAGGGCACCTGGTTCTGGGGTACCGCCTCCGAGCACAGCGTTCTCTACAACTACCAGTTTAACAACGCCTCCAACGTCTACATGGCTCATATCCAGACCGAGACGGCCTACTTCCAGGGTAACCCCGACGCCAAGACGCCCTTCACGGTCAACAACGCCATTCTCGACCCCAACTTTGAGACCTTCTGCACCGGGCAGAGTGACAAGTGCGCTCGTACCTGGGGTGTCCGCGCCATCAACTCCAAGGACATTCTCATCTACGGTGCCGGACTGTACAGCTTCTTCAACAATTACGACCAGGTCTGCGTTGGTGAGAACAACTGCCAGGACCACATGGTCTCTCTCGAGAACTCGGATGTCAAGTTCTTTGGTCTCAGCACCAAGGCGGCCATCAACATGGTTACGGTCAACGGCAAGGGCGCTGCGCTCGACACTGACAACCGCAACAACTTCTGCGCCACTGTGGCCATGTTCCAGGCTCCCCTCTAGGAGAGGGCCAACATC